TCCCCAGAGGGGAACATTTTGCTCTGAGCAAATTTCAAAGGATGTCCTCACCCAATTTCCTACCACAGAGGGGGCAGAACCAATAACGGAAGTCCTGTTGTTGTCGTTAGGTGCCGTCGAATCATGTCCAACTCATAGAGACCTTATGCACAACAGAATGAAACACTGCGTGGCCCTGTGCCAGCCAGTAAGTTCCTAGACCCAGAGAAAAGCAGAAACACTGAAGGGTGACCTGGCATTTCCCCAGATTCTGTTGAAGGTCCCAGGTGTTCCTACCACATGTCCTTTGTTTCTGGTCACCCACCAGGGTCTCAGGTCCCTTTTGTAATGGACAGATAGGCTGAAATGCAGAAAGGCAAATGAATGAGCCATTCTATGGACAGGCAGGATTTTGACCTAAGCCCCCAGGATACTAAGGCTGACCCCTTAGATGAAAAGGAACCAGGTCTCATGCCAATGCTTCTCATCTAATAGCTCAAAAGACAGACATGACTTACAAATTATGGGCCAGGAACCAGAACTGGTCCAACGTACACTCTGAAATATGATTTCAGCAGTGGCAATAGACTTGCCTATATCCTTCAGGTCCTGTGCTCAGTACAAGGAGCAGAGCATGTGTACCCTGTCCACCACAGCATCCCTGACACCAGACATGGTGTCTTTCATTTAGCAGGTTTCATCTTACTGAATGATTGCGGTTATCCCCACAGTATCTATCCTGGAGTGAAGTCTGTGACATCGAGACCAAGCAAGATCCATCCATTTCAATGTCCATTGAACCTATGACCCTGGCTGTTTTTCATGCTTCATTGAAAACCTGAGCCAACATGGTCATAATACCCAGAATGCAGGAGGGGAGGGGACTGGTGAGGCTCGAAGGAAGACAGGGCAGGCAGTCACTGAGCTCAGGGCTTCACCACCATGTGGATTGGAAAGGACTAGCTCACTGAAGCACTACTGGTTGCTGTGGAGCCAACTCTGAGTTTGTTGGAGTGGAAATGTGCTCCACAGTGCTGTCCATGGCTGATTTTTTAGGAAGTAGATCTCCAGGCCTTTCTTCCAAGGTGCCTCTGGGTGGACTTGACCTGCCAACCTTTTGGTTAGCAGCCAAGTGTGTTAACTGTGTGCACCATCCAGAAACTCCTAAAGATGGTCAAACCCCAAAGATTTTCTGCAAGGTGGAAGGGCCTTAAGTTGTTGAGAAGCAGACAAGCCATCCTGAAATCCAAGATTCAAGATGGGTGGCTCTAAAAATTGGATGGTATCACTCCTGAAACACTCCAAAGTACCAGCTGGACTAGATTCCTGGTCCAGGAGCTCCAAGGGAGGAATGAGTCCTGTTAATTATTCCCTTTCCTTCTCTGACTTGCCTTTCCCTTTGGCTTAACTGTCTTACTGGAACTACTCACCAGATCATAAAGAAAGAGCTACCAGCACTCACTCCCCCTGCCCCTGAATTTGTTTAAAGAAATACATATGAATCTGTACAGAGAGACAGGTCTCAGTCCCAAGATTGGGCAAAGCTACTGCAGCTGCAAAGTTATAAGCCCATAAATAAAGTTTATGGTTAAACTGGTCTGACCCAGCTTTGCCCCTAGGTACAGAAGCACTATCTTGTCATTAGTATGCAGAACACATCAGCCTAAAGTCTGCCCATTTGTTCTCAAGCCACTAGCTCTATAAATCTCTTGGAAAGGATGGGGTGGGGAGGGGGAGCCAAAGTGAGGGGCAGAGAGAAAAAGGGGCAGGAGAGGGAGGGGAGGGAGGGCTACAAGGGGAGTTTCTATGCTGATAGTCAACAGACCACAGGGTTCATGGAGCCTGGTGGAGGTGAGAGGCACAAGGCTCGTCAAATACACCTTTGCTTCTCCAGTAATCAGTGAAGAAGCACAAGGCTGTGGGAAACAGAATGGAATTTGTAAGACCAGAACTCCTCTAGGTCAAAGGGCAGGGCCAAGGTTGTTCATAAAACCAAACTTACTGCCTTTGAGTCGGGTCCGATTCATAGCGATTCATCCTTGGGTTTCTGACTACAGAAGTAGATTGCCCAACCTTCCTTCCCAGGAGCGGCTGGTGGGTTTGAACTGCAAGCCTTCTGGTTAGCAGTCAAATCCCTTAGGCACTACACTACCAGAGCTCCCAAGGGTTTTGGTCATAGGATTTTACCTAAGGAGCCGAGTCTCCCCTCTCTCTGCCCTCCTCGTTGTTGTTGTCCTTACTTATCTTATTGCTTATTTTCTCCTAGCTTTCCTTTGGGACCATGTGTTTTGGGAGGCTCTTACAGAAGTGGTTGGGGGCGTGTGTGTTCTTTATCTCTACCCTTTGCAGACTAGCAGACAGCTCGGCTCTCTCTCATCTCTGCTGAGGAGGGCAGTAGGGATGAACAGGGGTGAGTAGGCATGCAGGAGAGCTGACAATGTCCCCGATGATGAGTTATTGAGGTCTGATGTACTTTGCTGAGTGACAGCTTCACCATGGCTAACTTGCTATCTGTGTCTCCTGCTGCAGGAACCTCAGGGGTGGTGCAAACTGTGAAGCGCTCTGCTGCAAACTGAAAGGCTGGAGGTTTGAGTCCAACCAGAGGTGTCTCAGAAGAAAGCCCAGGCAATCTCCTTCCAAAAAAAATCAGTCCTTGAAAACCCGCTGGAGCACAGTTCTACTCTGATACACATGGGGTCTCCATGAGTCCGAGTCAGCTCCATGGCAACTGGTTTGGGTGTTTTGGGTTTACGGTCAGGCAAAGACTGACTCTGGTGCTCTCCTGCCTGGAAGCTCTGCTGCAAGAGATGAACAGGGCTGGAGAGGCCCAATGGGGCAGTAGAACAAGTCCTGATATTTGTCCCTTCTTTGATGACTTCAGATTTCCCATTGGACAGCAAGCAAAGGGACGTCGCTCTTGCACCCTCCATCCTGGCAGGCAGAGCCTCCCTTCGCATAATGGAAAGGAGTCACAGCAGCTCACTGCAGGGACCTGAATGGGCACAGAGTAGGGAGGGAGGGTGGCAGCGAAGGGCCCATCCCCCAACTTGGGTCTAAGCATGAAGGATGGTTAAAGTTAGCCTCAGGGGCAGCCTTGAAGGGGAAGCCAAATCATAGGGAGGGTCTTGCAGCCTCGGGATCTGAGTGAAGAAGGGTGGGACTGCAGCTCCCAGGCAGTGGCAGTGGCCCTCGAGGCCGCAGCTGGAGATCTCAGGGTATTCTTGGGCTGACAATTTGTACAGGAGTCTCAAACTCTTTTTTTAAAGTAGCAATTTTCTTCCTTTATTCCAGGATTTCTCAAAGGCATCATTAGTGACATTTAATCCAAAAACAAAACAAAAAACCAAACTCACTGCTGTCATCGATTCTGGCTTCTTGGGTTTCCGAGGTGGTATGTCTACGGAAGTAGATTGCCCAGTCTTCCTTCCGAGGAGTGGCTGGTGGGTTTGAACCACCGTTCTTCTGGTTAGCAGGCAAACACTTTAGGTACTATGCCACCAGAACTCCATAATTCCGTGTATGTGCTGTCCTGTGCATTGTAGGATCTTTAGCAGAATCCCTGGCCTTTATGTGACTGTAGTTTATCCCTCTCCCCACATTGTGGCAATCAAAAATGTCTCCAGACATTGCCAAATGTCCCTTAGGGGAAAAGCATTCCCACTTGAGAACCAGTTCTCTTCTGCCTTTGCTTCTCCAAGTCATTGTCATCACCTTGACTATGTTAGCCAAAAGCCATCCATGGATAAGCAGGAGGAGAAGGGCCCTGGAGGCCACAATGAAGGAAAAATATGGGCCAGAAGGTCCAGTTCCTGACCCCAGAGAATTCATCCCCCAAAGGTCACAGAAACTGTGATTTAGAACAAAGGGAGTCTGTATGCAATGTAAACAGTCAACACCCCAAAAGGTTAGAGGTTCAAGATTTGCATCCATCCAGAGCTGCCTTGGAAGGATGGTAGGGCCACCCACTTCCCAAAACTTAGCCACTGAAAACACTATGAAGCCCAGTTCTACTCTGACACACATAGGGTCACCATAAGTAGGGATTGGCTCCTCAGCATCAGGTTTGGTTAGAACAAAGACCAAAGAGTTACCAGTAAAATGGTTCATTAGAGATGCCAGATTTAGCAAATAAAAATATAGGATGTCCAGTTAAAATGGAATTGCAAGAAATATATATTATTATTATTATTATTATTATTATAAGTATATCATATGCTGTATTTGGGACATACTTGTACTAAAAGATTACCTATTCTTCATCTGAAATTCAAATTTACCTGGGTGTCCTGTATTTGAGCTGGCAACCCTATCTTCAGGTAGAACTGGTCCCACAGAGGAGAAGCTAGAGAGAGAATAGTTGTTCTCATGGTACAGGAATATCCCATGTTTTTGGAGTAGGATTTGACCTATAAACAAAAGCAACAAAAGGCCACCGTCTCCTTAATCCCACCCAAGGGCTCTCAGAATTCAGGCCAGACTGCAAGATCAGGGAATGCCTGACTGATTATCAACATTTCTCTTGGTCTGAAAGAGTAGCGCTCACTTCCCCTTGGTGGTCCTAACTGCACGGCCGCCTTGGAGAGTCTCCTCTGTGTTTGACTGTAGAGAGGAGCCATGGTGAGGCTGGGCAAGCCTCTGTCATGCTATATCTAGAAGAGGGAGATGTGGTCACTTCATAAATCCACAAGGAACAGGCACATTTTCTGATGGAGCAGCAAGGAGCAGGGTGAAAGCTTCACCAATCTCGTGTGTCATCAATCGTGTTTCCTCTTTGAAGGAGAGAGGACATTACTCATGCCTGTCACAGTGAAAAGAGAGGAGGGGAGGCCCAAGGAGAAGAGAGACCTAACAGGGCAGGTGAAGCATCTGGGAGTAGGGGAGGGAACCGGGGGCGACAGCAGGGAGAATGGAAGACTGACAAGGCCAGGATCAAGAAAGTGTGATGCTCACCACCAACCATAGCAGAAAAAAATCTGGCTCAGCTGATTTTAAGGGGGAACCTACATGCAGGGAGAAGAGGGGCAGTGGTGGTTCAGTGGTAGAATTCTTGCCTTTTACGCTAGAGACCTGGTTCAATTCCTAGCCAATGCACCTGAAGTCAGTGGAGACTTGTGAGTTGCTATGGCAATGAACAGGTTTCAGTGGTGCTCCCAAACTAAGATAGACTAGGAAGAAAGGCTTGGCAATCTGCTTTTGAGAATCAGTCAGTGACAACCCTACAGCTCACAACCAACCTAGGAAGCATTTAGTTCCATAGTGCACGGGTCACCATGAGTCCAATGGTGGCTCAATGGCAACCAGCAACAACGTGTGGGGTGGACCGAAGGGAAGAGGTATGGAAAGGATTCACCACCAGCACAGGGACACATGGATGCCTGTGTTGAGCCTTCAGAGTTGTCAGAACCTTCTTGGTGAGACTTCAGAAAGACTGTGCTAAAGGTCTATGGCTGGAAATCAGAAGCACGTTCCAGTCTTGGCCCTGCCAATGCCTCTGGGCAACCTACTTCCTATGGGGACCTCCATGTCTTCATCTGTGAAAAGAAGGGCCTGTCCCAAATGATTCTTAGACTCCCTTCTGCTCGTCAGATCCTGCCTTGACCTGTTCTGTTTTGCCTTCCTTTCCCTCCCATGGCCCACTGGGAATGCTCAAGCTTGAGGCATCCTGCCATTTTCTTCCTTTCATGAACATCTGCAGCTCTGAGACCCTAGAGAACCCCTGAGATTTTCTTTGAAGATGATGCAAAGAGATACCACATCCAACAGGAAGACATGTCTTCTAGAAGAACTAGAAATCAGGAACCTTGGGGGCTGAGGGGGGCACTCTTAGTTTACAACCTTGAGGGAACCAGGGAATTTCTGAGACTTGGGCATACCCACCTGCAAAGTGAGGGGAAACTGCTTGCACTGTACTTTTCCTGTGGGAACGACAAATTAAATAGCTGCATTGGAAACAGACAGAATACACACACACACAGACACAGGGCAATGGGCTATGTGTCTTGAGACGTCAAGAGTGGAAACAGAACAAGAGTGTGGCTGGGAAGTGGGGGTGGGCAGGACTTTGGAAGAAGCTGCCAGTCTGTCTTTCCTTCAGGACAACAGCTAAATTCCAGAGCCTCATCAAACAGACCCTCCATGTCTCAGTAAAACTAAACTGACAAGCATGACCTCCCCTTGGCGGTTCACCTTATTGAAGCTGTCTGGTAGGTGAGACATTTATTAACACGGATGGACTGCCCACCGAGAGGGCCTGCTGCTGAGGGCTCAGTGGAATGAATTCCTTCTGCAGATGCAATAAGTCTCCACTTCAATATGGAATTTGATGACATCTTTCTTGTTGAGGGGCCTCGGCCATAGCAAAGCTGTGCTCTTGACATGAGACCAGCAGCTCCAAGTGCAAATCCTGGCACCAGGGAACATGTGGTTCCATCATCCTGGAAACTCAGTTTGCCCATCTAGATACTGGTTTAAGACTGTCCAAGTGAGGATGGGGTAAGGGGAGAGGGAGTCATAAAAACATCATTGAGTCATCGCTTTAAAAAGTTGTTCTCTCAACTGGGCACCCAACACGTGCACACTGCAATTCGTGAGAAACCCTGGGGCCAGCTTATGAGCACAGCATGTAGCTTCTCTGTCTACTGCTGTGTAACAAGTTACTCCAAATTTTAGCAGCTTTCAATACCACACAGTTGTTATCCCACGTTTCAGTCCAAAACCAGGATGGCAGCAGGGCCGTGCCCCTCTGAAGGCAAATGGGAGAGTACTTCCTTGTCCCTCCTTAATTCTGGTGGCTGCCAGCTGTCCTTCCCTGCTTATGCATCACTCCAGTCTTTGCCTCCATCATCTCGTGGATTCTCCCGTGTGTCTCTGTACCAAATTCCTCCACTCCTCTTCCAAAGTCCCCCTCCACACTGCGACCAGAACACTCTGTTCAAAGTGCACCTTTGACCATTTCGATCCTCAGTGCAAAGCCACCCATTAAAACCCAAGCTTCTTCACAGGATATGCATATTTAACTCTATGGTCTACCTGCCTGCGTTTCAGCCTTATCTCCTGTTGCTCTCCATCTCTCCCTTGATATCTGAGATGAATTGCTTCCTGCTCCTCCGATGCATCACTCTGTTTCTTGTTTTACCCAAGTTATTTCCTTGTGGGGATGCAGTGTACTCTACCTCCACCCCATCCTCCACTCTTCCTTCTTTTCTTCATCCAAAGTGCTTCATCCTTTAAGAACCGGCACAGACATTGCCACCTCCAAAAAACCCTCCATGATTGCCTTACTTATTGCATTCACCACATACGTTTAAAGCAATCTACTTAAATGTTAAGCTCTGCACTTGACTGCAAACTCCTCAACATCAGGCACCATACAGGTACTCCTTGACTTAAGACATACTTGAGTTAAGACGAACCACACTTACTGCCACCTGGTTTTGTTTTTGAACATCTTATTATTAGTAATATGTATTACAGATGTATTAACATGTATCTGTAAGTTTATATGCAATGTCTCCAACCCCCAAGGACAGATAAAGATCAAATTTATAAAGATGCTGATAAAAAAAGGCAATAATGAAAACTTAAAAAAAAAAAGAGGTATTCAATTTACATCAGAACTGACTTACAATGGAGTCATTGAAACGGAAGACCGTTGTACATCGGGGACTACCTGTATGTATGTCTCAGAGCTCAGCATGTTGCTGGAACATAATGATCCCTAAATGTTCTACTGAAGTCTTCTCAACTTTTCCTTCCATGTAATTTTAACTCTATATCAAGAACTGCAAAACTTAAGGTTTTTGTGAATGGCGTTTGGCCTCGAAAACAATGTATGTGAGGAAGACAAGAAGGGGCAGGGAAACCAGATGAATGGAAACCAGGAACCTAGAGTGGAAATGGGGAAAGCATGGATACATTGCAGAGATAGCAACCAATGTCATGGAACAATTTGTGTATGAATTATTGATTGGAAAACTAATTTGCTGTGTAAACTTTCACCTAATGCACAATTAAATATGAACAAGGACAGAGAAAGAGAGAGAGAGAGAGAGAGAGAAAATGCATGTGTGCATGATGATGTGAGAGTTCAGGGGGGCACCAAGGGCTGACTTGACCCATCCTTTAGGCAATTGCCCTACAAGATCCGTGGCTTCTCCCAGAACATTGTTGTTGTTGAGTGTTATCAAGTCACTTCCGACTCATAGTGGCCCACATGTCAGAGTAGAGCTGCTCCACAGAGTTTTCTAGGCTGCAATCTCTAGAGAAGCAGATAGCCAAGGCTTTCTTCCACAGAGCTGCCAGGTGGGTTCACATCACCAACATTTTGATAGCAGCTAAGTCCTAAGCCATCTGCTCCACCAGCACTCCTCCAAATGCACACACACCTAGGTTTAAAAAAAAAAAAAAAAGTATTTCCTCTGTAAAAGCCATTTCAAGAGTCCTCTGGTTTGATTTTATTTATCTGCCCCATCTGAGTTTACATTTTTTTTTTCCTCCTCAGTCTGATCACAACCTTCTCAAGGTCAAAATAGTGCCTTAGATCCCTCTTCTAGCCACCAAAGGACCTAACACAGGTAATTCAACATGTGTTCATAGTATACACATATATACTATGTCCTATATGATAAGGGCTATGGAGATCCATAAAAAGGGTCAGGATGCATAGTGATAGGGTGAGATGAGGGTGAAGGGCTACTGTTGAGAAGTGGTGGTGAGGAGGGCATCTGTGATATGGTGACATTGAGGCAGAGACCTGAAGGAAGTATGGGAGTGAGTGAATCCTGAGTGTATATTTAAAGGAGCTGTGGTAGCAGCAAAAAAGGCTGCAAATACTTGGACCTTCCTCCCATTGAGATGCAAAAGGGCCATGTAATTGTTTCGACCAACAGAATATAGCAGAAGTGATGCTTTGTCAATTTCTGGACCCAAACTTTAAGAGACCCATTACTCTTTCTTGTTTTTTATTGGTAGGCTTGCTTTGGGTACCCAGCAGCCATGCTGTAAGGAAGCTCAAGCAGTCCTTTGAAGACGACTGTGTGAGGTGAAACTGAGGTCTCTGGCCAAAAGCCCAATTGAGCTCCCTCCAACAGCACCAACCTGCCACTAACTCCAGATGAGTCACCCAGCTGACTCTGTGGAGGAGATGAGCCATCTCTGCCAAGTCTTGCCAAAATTGCAGATTCATTCACAAAATACATGTGCTGTTGTTTTAAGTCACTAAGTATTTGCTGGTAGCATAGTGGCAAAGACACTTGCCTGCTAACCAGACGGCTGGCGGTTCAAATCCACCAGCCACTCCTCGGAAGGAAGGTTGGGCAATCCTACTTCCGTAGTGATACTGCCTCGGAAACCCAAGAAGGGGTCGCTATGAGTCGGGGCCGACTCGACGGCACATAACAACAACAACAAGTATTTGCATGGTTCAGAACGTAAACCATGCAAAAACTGCAACAGGAATTTTCAGAGAGCAGTTGCAAAGGCAAAGGCCATAGCCCAGGTTAGTATTCTTTGGTACATAAGAGGATTCCTGGTGGTTTAGTGGTTAAAGCATTTGTATGTTACCTGAAAGGTCAGCTGTTTGAATCCACCACCCATTCTATGGGAAAAAGATGCGGCAGTCTGCTTCCATAAGGATTTAAAGCCTTGGAAATCCTATGGGGTAGTTCTACTCTGCCCTTGTAGGGTCACTATGAGTCAGAATCAATGTGACAGTAGTGAGTTTGGTTTGGCTAGTATGTATGGAGGCCAGAGTGGCTGAGCTGAGAATATAAGCCATGGGGTAGTAGGAGATGAGATCAGCGAGGTAACTGGGGTCCAGAGTTTGAAGAGGCCTGCAAGCCAGGACAAAGACATCTATTTTATCCTCAGTGATATGGATAGCATGGGAAGTGTCAAGCTAAGGAGTGGTGTGATCTGACATTTTAAAGGTCTATGCACATGGGAGAGCCCTGGTGACACAGTGGTTAAAGCTTTCCTTTGCTAACTGAAAGGTGGGCAATGTATATCCACCAAACATGCTGTAGGAGAAAGATGCGCCAGTCTGCTTCCATAAAGATTTACAACCTTGGAAACCCTATGGGGCACTGCTACTC